CATGCGAAATCGAGGCCGTCTGCCGCGATGGTGAGGCGCCAAGGCCGAGCCTCCAGCCAGCGTCATCTGTCGCATAGACGCTAAAGCATCCTGGTCAGAGCTTCCCCAACCCACTTGGACGGCCGACCTCTAACTTCGTCACCCAACGATCTCCGAGGCTACAGACCGACCGCGGCCCTCGATCTAACGCCGAGCAATACTACACCTCTCCGAACCGCCCACTACCGCAACGATGCCTGAAGTTGTCGACCCCCGCATGATCTCGGTGACGCCTAGGATACGATACAACACTATTGGAGGCGTCAACGGTCCATTGGTCATCCTCGACAATGTGCGTAGCTTGGACCCGTGAGACGGAGTGAGAAGAAGCTTATACATGTGGTGGACAGGTCAAATTCCCGCGATACAACGAGATTGTGTCCTTGACCCTGCCCGATGGCACCGAGCGCTCTGGTCAGGTCCTTGAAGCTCGAGGTAAGCTACTCCGACCCTGACAGTGCGCCCAAACACTGACACAAGCTGCAGGCAACCGCGCCGTCGTCCAGGTAAATTGCGACATGCTCAACTCTCCCGGCAACTCGATCTAATTGCGACATAGGTCTTCGAAGGCACATCTGGTATCGATGTCAAGAAGGTACTTACACCCAGTCCTCTGCAAGAGAACTCTATCTAACAGTCGCAGACCAAAGTCGAGTTCACCGGACACAGCTTGAAGCTCGGTGTGTCCGAGGACATGTTGGGCCGTATCTTCGATGGTTCAGGAAAGCCTATCGACAAGGGCCCCAAGGTGCTCGCCGAGGACTACCTTGATATCAACGGTAGCCCCATCAACCCATACTCGCGAGTACGTACCTGTTTTGATACCTCTCGTTCATGCGACTGACAGTGTGTAGGTCTACCCCGAAGAAATGATCTCCACCGGTATCTCCGCCATCGACACAATGAACTCGATCGCCCGTGGACAGAAGATTCCCATCTTCTCCTCTTCCGGTCTACCCCACAACGAAATCGCCGCGCAGATTTGCAGACAGGCTGGTCTTGTCGGAAAGCCCTCCAAGGGTGTACACGACGACCACGACGACAACTTCTCCATTGTCTTCGGTGCTATGGGTGTCAACTTGGAGACCAGTCGCTTCTTCACGCGCGACTTCGAGGAGAACGGCAGTATGGAGCGTGTCACTCTGTTCCTCAACTTGGCAAACGACCCTACGTAAGTAGAACATGCATGCGCTACTGTTATCCTAGCTAACCCAGCCTAGCATCGAGCGTATCATTACTCCCCGTCTCGCCCTTACAACCGCCGAATACTACGCCTACCAGCTCGAGAAGCACGTCCTCGTCATTCTCACCGACTTGTCATCCTACTGCGATGCGCTACGTGAGGTCTCCGCTGCCCGAGAAGAAGTGCCCGGTCGTCGTGGTTACCCCGGTTACATGTACACGGATTTGTCGACTATCTACGAGCGTGCTGGACGTGTTGAGGGCCGTAACGGATCTATCACTCAGATTCCCATTCTGACTATGCCTAACGACGGTATGTACTGCGACTTCTGTTACTCCGTGCTAAGCTAATTGCGCCAGATATCACACATCCCATCCCCGATTTGACCGGTTACATTACCGAGGGCCAGATCTTCATTGACCGTCAACTCGACAACAAGGGTATCTACCCTCCGATCAACGTCCTGCCATCCCTCTCCCGTCTCATGAAGTCTGCCATCGGTGAGGGCCGCACACGGAAGGACCACGGTGATGTCTCCAACCAGCTCTACGCCAAGTACGCCATTGGTCGTGACGCCGCTGCCATGAAGGCCGTCGTCGGAGAGGAGGCCCTGTCCTCAGAAGACAAGCTATCGCTTGAGTTCCTCGAAAAGTTCGAGCGCTCCTTCATCGCCCAGGGTGCCTACGAGTCGCGCTCCATTCACGAATCTCTCGATCTCGCATGGTCGCTGCTCCGTATCTACCCCAAGGAACTCCTCAACCGTATCCCAGCCAAGGTGCTCGACCAATACTACCAGAGGAGTCGGGGAGGTGACGACGGTGATAAGAAGAAGGGCAGCAAGGATACCAAGGACAACTCGGGCGAGGGCCAGCAGGACGACAACTTGATCGATGTGTAAGCAAGATAGTCTAGCATGTGTATGTGTTTGGGATGGTGGATGGACTGCTTCTATGGCCATGTTCACTGAGCGGAATGTGGGTAGAGATACTGCATTGAGTATATATGAATTTGTCGAATCTTTAATCTGGTGTACTTGTCGGCTTGGGTCATGTGATGTAGATTTGAGAAACGAAGTATGTTCGCGCTGCTGGTTGATACGACGACGGATAGACTTTGTTCACATCGTTCCACATATGTTGTATACACCTTGTAGGTCACTTCTCAACATGATGGTTATTGAGTACTACATCTATTTCACTTTGAATCTACGACATCACCAGACCTGATCCAGAAGCTTACAACAGTACGGAGCTCTGTCATACTGAGCACCATGCCCTAGCCAGGCGTCTACAAAGCCCCTCATACTATCCAGCATGCCACTCCTCAGCGAGGTGACGAGCATACATCTGTGCTGCACTCTGCGTTTTACACGTCTAAATTGCACCGTCTTTTCCACGCTCACTTCGACTTCCCGTTCCTCCCCCGCACCATCCCATCTCCCTTCACCATGGAAACGCGCGCGTCTTGCAAACGCTCTTGTTATGATTTTCACCGTCACCGTGAAAATTTGCCTTCCCTTGCCATGCCATATTATGATATCTCCCCCCCAGCGTGACTCCCCTCTCCTCTCCAGCAACAACAGCCAGCACCGTATCCTCCACGCCCCACCCACCACGATTTCCGTGCCGCTGTTGCTGCCGCTGTCGTCTCCTCGCTCTTGCTTTGCCTGCGCCCTGCCTCCCGTCGTCTCCTCGCTCACTTGTGGGCGTTGCTGCTGTCGCCGCTGCCACCATGGCGAACCCTTTCGTCCTCCCGCTCGTTCTCCCCGGGGGCCCGCCGCCGCTGCCACCACCACCAGTGTCTGCGCCCGGCGCGCGTTTTCTGGACGCGGCCACGCTGCCTGCAGCGTGGGGGAGGGCGGATTGGCAGAGGTATGTGATGGGTCTTTCTTTGGTCTTTTGCTGTTTTGTTTTTGGGCGTTGTTTGCGTGCGTGTGTGTTTTGGGGGAAGGGGAGTAGGGAAGGTAAGTATATGGTTGGACGGAAAGAGCTCGACATGGGACCTGGTGAAGCAGTGGTGCAGAACTGGGGAGATGGACAGCTACACAGAGTAAGAAAGAGATGGATTTGGAGCTGAACAGTTCTGAGATGCTTCGAAGTGGATGGAGGAAGAAGAAACAGTAAGTTTTGCTCTACAACGTAAAGAGCTCGAGACTGATGAATAGGTTGTTGCTTGCTGAAGCTCGATTGGAAGGGATTTAAACTCGACTCCCAAATCATACCGCATGACACGGGTCTATCTCTTGAACTAGCGACAACACATCCAGAGGCAGACATCCACCCGACAGAAGATTAGGCTTGATTCAAAATTGGAGCCAAGAGACTTTGAACATAAGAGCAGCTACTGCATCTAATGTCAAGTACAAGCCTGAAGTATACATACTGATCAATGGTACAGGGAGTTCGCCTATGGAATTGTTTTCCGGCCCGGCATCGACCCCAAGGTCCAGGTGGGGATCCACAACGATCTGGCCAATCGTTGGGACCGAACCTCCGTCGTCGACCAGTTCGCCTTCGGACGGTGGAATGAGGCCCTTCTCCCAATAGGGGCGACGGGAACCCAGGTGTACGTCCGAGATGGATGGCACCAGGAGTCGGAGCCTCATTTCACCGTGGAGCTGAGGTATGTGTTCGGCACCACGGGCGTGACCCAGCACTACGCCACCGCCCACGTTTATTTGGACTTCTCGGAGTCCGTAATCAGAACGTGTGATAAGGTGGACGGCCGCCAGCGCTGGTGCTTCGTCAAGCCCCTCTGGGCCGAACACCACAGGGTGTGGGACGTAAGTGTCCTTTGTTACTGAAGACCATTTAGCAAACTGACTAACTTTGGCAAGTCGCGCGGACCGAGACCGGCGGTCTTACCACGGCCACCGAGGGGGATGAGATATGCCCCCAAGTATCCACCCGTCTGGAGGTAGGTGATTTCATCTTGTTCCAAGAGATCCCAAGTCACTTGCTCCATCTCCCTTTCCACACTTCGCTTGATGGATCCTTCGCAGGTCAAGCCATTGTATCAATTCTTCTTCTTCATTTCCGCATGCTAATCATCTTCACTACAGCGCGGCGGCTAGTCGCGACTACCTTTCCGTTCTGGACTTTCTCCCACCGCTATGGGAGACCTAGCCTCCTCGCTCGTATGTGTGTAGAACCCCCCAAACATCCCCCACATCCTCTTCCTCAATCCCTCAAACGGCTGCTCGCCTGGCCTTGGGTTCATCGGGTCCTTGCGGAAGTCGTGGAACAAGACTCCGTAGACGACTATGAAACTGATCATGCTCCACTGCACCACCTTGGTCCACTTGTTCCATTCTGGCCGTATCGACTTCGCCTTGATGCGTCGCTTGAACTTGCGCTCGAACCGGAACTGCTGCTTCTCCGTCAAGGCGCGCAGGTTCGGCGGCCATTTCTTCTTGGCTGGGTACTTGTTGCGCGCGAAGTCGAACGGCGGGAGTGTGTTCTCGTGGCGGCCGAGGAGGCGGTTGATGAGGCGCAGCATGGTCGCTGGCTTTGTCGGTTCGACGACGGCGACAGGGGTGTTCGATTGACTTGTGGATTCGCGGTGCTGTTCCTGAGGATACTTGACTGACGTTCTGTACAGTTAAGGCACCGACTAGACCGCCCCACAATTCGCGCGAACCGAAAAAAAGTGTGACTAACCCCGTCCTCACGCACTGGCCACCATCCTCCCACCACCCCTCCACAACACCACACTTTTGTTCTCGCGCTCTTTACCACTTCTTTTTACGACCGTTCTTCACTTTTCTGGAATTGTCGTGATGGCGGAGGCCACAAAACTCAGCGACGCGCCAAAGAGCGCTGTCGCCGCAACATTAGAGCAGCTCAGGCCGCAAGAGGCTGAGTCAAAGACACTCAAGATTGAGAACACCGAAAAGCGCGACACATTGATCGCCGAGGAGAAAAAGTACCAGAAGTCATGGGAAGAGCAGGGAGTCTTCAACCCCGACGCCCCATCTCTCGAAGATGAACCCTTTGACACCACCACACCGGATGAACTTCACGAGAAGTACCCCAAATGGTTCGGTTGCTTTGCATACCCATACATGAACGGCACGCTTCACGCCGGTCATGGTTTCACCGCTAGTAAAGTCGAGTTCACCGCTGGTTTCAGAAGGATGACTGGCGCGCGTGCTCTCTTCCCATTAGGTTACCATGTGACTGGTATGCCCATCAAGGCATGTGCAGACAAGCTGGTCCGCGAGGTTGAGATGTTCGGACAGAACTTCGAACGCTGCCCCGTCGAAGATGTTGTCGAGACTTCAGTATCAGAGCCGCCAGCGCCAACACAGGCCGAGACTAAGACCGACATCACCAAGTTCAAGGCTACGAAAGGCAAGGCCAACGCCAAGACCGTCAAGACAAAGTACCAGTTCCAAATCATGCTCGCCCAAGGCATTCCCCTTGAGGAGATTCACAAGTTCTCTGATCCTTACCACTGGATCGAGTTCTTCCCTCCACTAGCCAAGAAGGACCTCACAGCATTCGGAGCCAGGATAGACTGGAGACGTCAGTTCGTCACCACCGATGCGAACCCGTACTACGACAACTTCGTTGCTTGGCAGATGCGCAAGCTGAAAGCCCTGGGAAAGATCATCTTCGCAAAGCGTTACACTGTCTACAGCCCGAAGGATGGCCAAGCATGCATGGACCACGACAGGCAGTCCGGAGAAGGTGTTACCGTCCAGGAATACACCGCGCTGAAGATGAAGGTTGTGAAGTGGGCAGATTCCGCAAAGGCTCATGCTGGTGCCGTCCCCGAAGGCGCTTCTTGCTACTTCGTGCCAGCCACGCTCCGCCCAGAAACCATGTACGGTCAGACCTCATGTTTCGTAGGACCTGCGATCAACTACTCCCTAGTCAAGATCACCGATACCGAATACTACATCCTCAGCGAGAGAGCCGCAAGGAACATGGCATACCAAGGCACCACTGCCAAGTGGGGCGAGTACTCCATCGTTGCTACCTTCCCCGGTAAGGATGTTGTCGGCACAGTCGTCAACGCTCCTCTCTCTGTTCACAAGGATGTCTACATCCTTCCTATGGAGACCGTCAAGGACACCAAGGGTACGGCTGTCGTCACATGTGTTCCATCAGACTCACCAGATGACTACATCACTTCATTTGATCTTGCCAAGAAGGCCGAGTACTACGGTATCCAGAAGGAATGGGTCAAGTTCGACGATCTCTTGCCTATCATTGAAACTCCCTCATACGGTAACCTCACAGCGAAACGCCTCGTAGAGGAGATGAAGATCCAGTCACCCAAGGACTCCGCAAAGCTTGCCGATGCTAAGGAGAAGGCTTACAAGGAGGGATTCTACAAGGGCAAGATGGTACACGGCGACTTTAGCGGAAAGACTGTCGAAGAAGCGAAGCCGCTCGTTCGCAAGCAGCTCATCGAGGCCGGTGACGCCTTCCCGTACGCTGAACCCGACGGCAAGGTCATGAGCCGAAGTGGTGACGACTGTGTTGCAGCTCTTCTCGACCAATGGTACATGAACTACGGTACTGCAGCGAATGGCGGAGACGGCGAATGGGCCGAGAAGGTCCGCTCACACATCGAGGGCGAACTGAACCTCTACTACCCTGAGGCGAAGAACCAATTCCTCCGAGTTGTCGACTGGCTCAGCATCTGGGCGTGTGCTCGCTCCTATGGTCTCGGCACCAAGGTACCCTGGGATCCAAGTGTGATGGTTGAGAGTTTGTCAGACAGCACAATCTACCAGGCCTACTACTCTTTCGCTCATCTTCTGCACAAGGACATGTTTGGAAAGGAGCCCGGTCCTCTCGGCGTCAAGCCCGATCAGCTCACTGACGAAGCTTGGGATTACGTTTTTGCTCTTCGCGACCGATCCGATGTTCCGCAATCCGACATCCCCACAAAGACCCTACAAACTATGCGACGACACTTCGACTACTGGTACCCGCTCGACATGCGCACCAGTGGTAAGGATCTAATTCAGAACCATCTGACCTTTAACCTCTACGTACATACCTCTATTTTCCCTAAGGAGAACTGGCCCCGCAGCTTCCGTGTGAACGGTCACTTGCTACTCAACGGCGACAAGATGAGCAAGTCTACCGGTAACTTCCTGACCATCGCTGGTGCTGTCGAGAAGTTTGGTGCCGACGCCACACGTATTGCCCTTGCCGACGCAGGAGACGAGATCACAGACGCCAACTTCGAAGAGACGGTCGCGAACGCCAACATCCTGAAGTTGTTCGAGCTCCGCAAATGGTGCGAGGACTTGATGAACGAGGCCATCTACGTTCCCGATGCGGCAGCATACATGGAGAAGAGGACGTCGGGATCGGTCAAGAACCCAGACGTCATCCAGCGACAGAGCGGCAGCGAACATCTCCTTTTCGACAAGATGTTCGATAACGAGATGAACGTTTTGATCCACGAGGCTTTCGGACACTACTCCAACACCTTCTACAAGCTCGCCCTCAAGTCGGGATTCTACGACTTCACCAGCGCGCGCGACTTCTACCGTGAGGCTACCAAGGCAGCAGGCATCGGCATGCACCAAGACCTCGTCAAGAAGTTCGTCGAGCTCCAAGCCCTCCTCCTCACCCCCATCGCACCTCACTGGTCAGAATACATCTGGCTCGAGGTACTTAAGAACAAGGAAACCGTCCAGAAAGCCCTGTGGCCCAAGGTTCCCGAGCCCAACGCTTCGCTCACAGCCGCCCGAGAGTTCGTCCGCCAAACACAGACGAACATCACATCAGCAGAGGGCAACGCCATCAAGAAGCTATCCAAGGGCAAAGCAGCCACGTTCGACCCCAAGAAAGAGAAGAAGATCATCATCTTCTCCGCGAAGGAATGGCCCGCTTGGCAGAAAAAGTACATCGACATGGTCCGCGACGCCGACACCCTCGACATCAAAGCCATCAGCAAATCCATCGACAAGTCCGAGTCCAAGAAAGCCATGCCCTTCATCAACGGTCTCAAGCGCCGTCTCGATAACGGCGAGCCCAAGGATGTCGTCCTTAACCGCGAACTCGCGTTCGATGAGCTGGACACGCTGCGCGCTATGGTGCCTGGATTGAAGCAGACTGTTCAGAAGTGTGTTGATGTGGAGATTGTCACCGTTGGTGAAGGTGGCAAGGATGGTACTGTGATCAAGGAAGATGGTAGCAAGGGCGAGACTCGGTCGGAGCTTCCACCGCAGGCTGCTACTGCTGAGCCGGGGTACCCGAGCTTTGCTTTTGAGAATGTCGAGAATATGCCTGTGCGGTAGGTGCTGGTGGTCTCAAGAGGTGGACTGGATTCTGGGTGTTGGGTTGGGTTGGGCGCACGCTTTCATGTAACGACACGGTATGATTGATGTGCATGGGTCAAAGGATGGATGGTATGATCTGGGATGGATGGATGGATGGATGGACTACTGGTAGATAGACGTCGTATGGTATGGTCCTTGAGACGGGCTCTGGATGGAGGATAGGCCACACCAATATCAGAAGACATTGTACCCACCTCACCACTGTCTTGCTCATTGCTCGTTTGCGTACGTCTTAGATATCGTAACATGGTGACTGACCATGGAACGGTACTTCATGGTATTATAGTTCCCATACTTCCAATACTTTTGATCCGAAATTATATCCACCTACATGCCCAAGGCTCCTGCCAACCCCACCTACAACTTCGCCCTCGCATCATCAACGCGATTACCCTGCTGATCAAAAAAGATCTTCCTTCCACTCCTCAAACTATCCTGCAACGCAACCCCAATCTTAACCGCCTCCATGCTACTCTGCAAATCCACCGGCACCTCACCCCCCTCAAGCACCGCATCCGTAAACTGCCTTGCCTCCTCCACAAACGCCTGTTCAAACCTCTCATAATAATTCTGCGGTATCTCCCTATTAATCCCATTGCTCATATGGCTCTCCAGCAAACCCGTCATGGGGTTTGAATTCACAGCCAACTTGCCCTTTGTGCCGATGATTTCAGTCATGTCGTGCTGGCCAGGGGCGTTCATGCGCGAGCTGTAGAAGTAGGCGATTTGCCCGGAGTGGAATTCTACGACGCCGACGCCGTTGTCGACGTCGCCGTGTTTGGCTAGGTCGGGTTCGAGGGCTGTGACGCCGACGGCCATGACGGATTTTACGAGGGGCAGGGTGCGGCCGCGTGTTTCGGCGGAGAAGTACCATAGCGCGAGGTCGATGTCGTGGATGTTGCAGTCGACGAATATGCCGCCCGAGAACTCGGCGTAGGCGACGAAGAAACCCGAGGGGTCGTATCTGTGGGGGTGGACGGGTTAGTGGGTGTTGTGTGTGTGTTTGTGGGAAATTGAGGCGTTGCTTACTTGTCGCAGGTTTGTGAGCGCAGGATCGTGGGACGGCCGATGTCGCCGTTGAGAGTCATGTTGTAGGCATTGAGGTAGGAGGAGTCGAAGCGGCGGGAGAAACCACACATGACTTTGACGTGCGGGTTGCGCTTTGCGGTGTCGAGGACTTGGTGGACCTAGATAGTACGATTAGTTATAGACCCTCAGGATGCGGGACGGACAAGATACATACCACGTCCAACTTGGTGCTGAGCGGCTTTTCACACAATACGTGCTTACCAGCTTCAATCGCCTTGATTGTCTGCTCGGCGTGGACTGTGGTAACGGTAGCTACACAGACAGCCTCGAGACCCTCGTGCTTCAACATCTCGTCGTAGTCGGTGTAGATCTTGACGCCCCATGGCTCGAGATTCTCCTTTGCCCATGCAATCTCGTTTTCAGCGGGTGTGAATGCGGCTACGAGTTCAGCCTTGGGTGTGCGGTGGAGGAAGTGGTTGGCATGGCGAGCGCCCATGCGGCCGAGGCCTGCGACGGCAATACGGAGTCTGCGGATCGCGGGTGCCATTGTGGTGGACGTGTGAGGGTGGAAGGGAGTTGCTTGAGAGGGATAAGATTCGGAGGAGCTAGACAGTAAGAGCGAGGAGATATATGCTCGACTGAGCACCTACGGGAATACACCGACTTTCAATCCCCCAGAATCCTACCTTGGTCAAAGCTCCTCTCAGGGTCCAAACTAGGCTCAAAGACGCAAAAGCAGCTGCTCCTCCATATCCAGTCGCCGAGTTTCGTCCTCCTTACCATCCGCGTAAACCAATATCCATCATGCATCTTGAAGCCACCCGTCATTCCTCCCCCCGGTACAAGGCCCAAGTTATGCGGCCAACTTCTCTACGCTGAGCCGCACATGCCACGTCTGGACCGGATCATCGGCACGGGCATTACGTCGATGGCAGATGCGGAACGCGAAAGCGCTGTGGAGAAATGCATCTTGAGTTGACGGAAAGTGGAAAGTGTGGGGAACGCGTGGAGTCGCGTCGACGAGCGCCCAGGCACAAAAGGCGGAGTTGAGCGAATGGGGAAAATCTCCTCTTTCGATCGGGTAGGGCGAAATTACTCCGCGCAAAAAGGCCGGTTTGCGATGGGAAGTCGTTCACTAATTCTGGGGTATGATGCGAAGATTTCGCGTTGTGGAGACGGATGGCGATGATGGGGAAGGCTGGGGCCGTGGTGCGTGGGTGAAAGAAGGAGAGGGTTAGCGACAGTTCACATGCTTGAGGCTGGAATACCGCCGTGCTTCCCCGCATACGTCACTTGTTTACCAACACCAGAACGAGTGCTGAGAGGGAAAGATGGTATCGGAATTCTATTGTCCGTCGAACTGGATCGAGATCGCAACTGCATCACTCTATTGCTACATCGTTCTACACCTATGAACACTAACTTTTACTGACTGCTTCAGAGATTCGACTTCTCTTCCTCACCAGTCTCAAGCACAACTTTGATGACCAGCTTGCCGCTATCGTCTTTGGTCTTTCCGGCCATCTCGAATGCCTCGACTGCCGACTCTAAGCCTTTGTAGGTATGTGTTACCAGCTTGGCAAAAGCAGGGTAGTCATCGCCTGTCTTTGACACTACTTCGATACCAGTGGGGTACGTGTTCGCATATCTGAATACACCAAGGATATCGACCTCGCGGAGTGCAGCTGCGGAGATTGGTAGTGTTTGAATGGGCGTGCCCATGCCGATGAGCAAAACCTTGCCACCTGGTCGTGTTGCCTGGAGCTGTTAGTGTTCACTCGACTCAACTAGGCGGGCGAACTTACATATATCGATGCTTGAACGCAGGATGGTACGCCGGTGCACTCGAATACGGCATCTACCTCACCAATCTCACCACCACTCTCCTTGGACAGCTTTCCGACCTCGGCAGCTACCTCCTTCGCGATATCCAGCTGCTCTTCTATTGTGCTTCCACGCTTCATAGGCACTGTGTAGCTGTGGTGCGCAAACTTATTGTCGACGGCGAATTGCACTCGCCCAGCGTCAATGTCTGCTATCACTACGGTGCCAGCACCTGATATCTTCGCCATGGCTGCTACAAGTAGGCCTACAGCCCCAGCTCCAAACACCAGCACGGTTGAGCCCGGTGCTAGTTGTGCGCGTTTCGATGCTTGGATGGCGACGCTGAGAGGCTCGAGGAGGGCTCCTAGATCCAGCGACATATCCTCTGGTAGCCTGTTCATCGTTAGCACTATTAACAACCACGTTGTAATCGAGACTCACTTGTGACACCAAGCAGCCGGGTGGTTGATCCGATCTTGTAGCGTACCCTGAGCATGCGGAAACGCCTTTGCACTACTCCGGAACTTCATGCCTTTGCAGATGTTATACCGCCCCTCTTTACACCTCTCACAGTTCTCGCACGGCTGTCCAACTTCCAGCGCGACCTTATCTCCAACCTTGAACCCCGACACCTCTGAACCTACGTCTACAACTACACCAGCCGACTCGTGGCCCAGCGACATGGGCTCTCGCACGATGATGTCGCCATTGCGGTAGTGGCGGTAGTAATGGAGATCTGAACCGCAGAGACCGGTGCTGCGGACGCTGATTTGGAGCTCTGTTGGGGAGGGTGGGAAGAGGGTGCGGTTTTCCTGGCTTCATGTTAGTGTCTGCAGGTCTGGGGGACTTCTATGTGTGGCATACGATTCTCAGATCTTTTGCTCCGTGAAGTACTGAGGCGCGGATGTTTCTCGCGCCCTGTGCAACGTCTGGTTTGCTCTCTGAGGACATGTTGTCGTGGTTCGTAGTGCACTCGGAAATATGAATGTACAAGTGAAGCTTAACACGCGTGGTAAAGTAGGTATAGTGACGTTCAGCTCAACGGCAATGCAAGGTTGAAGCCGTGAAGTGAGGGAGAAGGTTGCTGGAGCATCAGTTCATCTCGCAAAGCATCGGAAGCTATCACGCGCCAGACACTCGGCGCGCCTTGCCTCATAGTACAGCAACAGATGGAGACAAATTCCACCTTCGGCGTTTGAAATGGCGGGACATCAGATGCCGACGCCTCGTTTGGGGTGGTGGGGTTGGCTTTCCGAGGCAGTTCCGAGCTGCCCCAACATCGCGCTGCAGGAAAAGCCGTCGACTTCTGCCGCAGGCTTTCAAACTTCTTGGTTGCCTTTTACTAGATTCCTGAAGTTCTTTGCTCAAGTTGCTTGTCTTTTTAGACTACCAAGGAACCTTTTGCTCGTTATCTCAGCTCTAATTCCTCTCCAACAGCATTCCGAACCACACTTACCAAGTCCACAACATGGCATCCGTACAGCAGCTCTTCTCGCTCGAGGGCCAAACCGCCCTCGTAACAGGCGGAACACGAGGTATCGGTCAATCCATGGCTCTCGCGCTCGCAGAAGCAGGAGCAGACATCCTCCTCGTCCAAGTACGCCCTCTCCCCTCCCTCCTCATCCCCTCCACCCACTAACAACCATCCCCCCAGCGCGACACCAGCAACCAAACCACAAAACAAAAAATCGAATCCCTCGGCCGCAAAGCCACAATCTACACCGCGGACCTCTCCTCCAAGTCCTCCATCACCGCCCTCATCCCCACCATCCTAGCCGACGGCCACAGAATCCACATCCTGTTAAACTGCGGCGGCATCCAAAAGCGACACCCCGCGCACCAATTCCCCGACGAAGACTGGGACGCCGTGCTGCAAGTAAACCTGACCTCCGTCTTCCAACTCTGCCGCGACGTCGGCGCACACATGCTATCTCAGCCCGCAGACCTGCCCTTAGGCCGCCGCGGAAGCATCATAAACGTTGCTTCCCTCCTAACCTTCCAAGGCGGGATTACGGTGCCGGCGTATGCGGCGAGTAAAGGCGGGGTGGGACAGCTTACCAAGGCGCTGTCGAATGAGTGGGCGGGTAAAGGGGTTAGTGTTAATGCGATTGCGCCAGGGTATATTGCGACGGATATGAATGAGGCGTTGATTAAGGATGAGAAGAGGGCGGAGAGTATTTTGAGTCGCATTCCGGCGGGGAGGTGGGGGAGCCCTGAGGATTTCAAGGGCGCGGTGGTGTTTTTGGGGAGTGCGGCGAGTGCGTATGTTAGTGGGGAGGTGCTTACTGTTGACGGGGGGTGGATGGGTAGGTAGGTTGGTAGATAGGTTGGTGGGAGTGGATGGATGGACAGGTTTTAATGGCATGTTTTCTTGAGTAACTTGCATGGACAAAAAACTTAGTCTTGGATCAAGGAATTTGTTGACTTGACTTCTCATCTCATCACACGAACCGTCTCAAGGCATTGTGATTCCCTAGTTCTCTGAAGCACTGAGTTTGAGTGAGACATCTTCAGCGAATTCCAATGTCTTGTTGGGTATAGATTTTTGTCCCTATCCTACATCCACAACCTACAACTTGCTTGCCCCAAACAGTCAAGGTCCGCTGAGATCCATGCCCTCAGGCTTATCCGGGAACCCAGCGTTGACACCAAATGGCGGGTATACATAGCGGGTGATGCCCTTCTCCTTGTGAATCTTCTCCAGCTTCTGCATGTCCTCGTCATCAAGGGAGATGAGCTTCTTGTTCTCGTCGATGCGGGATGGGGTGACGGACTTTGCGAGGACGGAGGAGTTGCGGGCGACTTTGTGATGAGTTAGTAACGTGGGTCTGAGGAGTTGGGTGGGTGGAACTTACGGTGGTAGCTCAGTAGTACAACGGCAGGGCCGACGCTGTGCTTCTTTGCGACTTCATTGACGCCCTCGTCCTTGAAGAGCGGTGAACCTGTGCTTCCGAGCGGACTGTAGGCTGTGATGTGGATGCCCTTCTCCTTGCAGAAGTCGACGACTTCTTGTTGTGGGCATAGCGGGTGGTTCTCGATCTGGTTGACGGCGGGGACGATGGTAGCGATTTTCAGAAGCTTCTCCATGTACTTGACGGAGTAGTTGGCGACACCGATGGCCTTGACCTTGTCAGGGTGTGATTGGATCAACTTCTCGAGGTTCTTCCATGTGTCTTGGTGGGTGATGGAGGTGTCAATGTCTCGCGAGCCGTCCTCGTGCTTGGGGAAGAGGGGGTGGTTTCCTGCGCGTTTGTTAGTTGTGTTTTCGTCTTGTTTGGAGACATTAGATTTACCCTTGGGGTTCATGGGAACAGGCCAGTGCATGAGGTAGAGATCGACATAAGGTGTCTTGAGCATGTCCAAGCTCTTTTGCAGACCCTCCTCAGCGCGAGTGTGGAATGTGCACCAGAGCTTGCTAGTAATGAACAAGTCCTCTCTCTTCACGATGCCGCGCGAGATAACATCCTGCAGCGCCTCGCCGACTTCATCCTCGTTTTGGTAGCAGAAGGCGCAGTCAATGTGTCTGTAACCACTCTCAATGGCGTGGACAACAGCTTTCTTGACCTCGCCAGGCGCAGACTGCCACGTTCCCAAACCCAGGGCGGGGATGGTCGCGCCAGTGTTGAGAGGGATAGCGGTATTCATCTCGGGCTGTGGGTTGAGGATACTCTTGGGTGTACTCTTGAGCATGAACTTGGAGAGGGCGGGATTCATCGCGACTCC